TGTATAGGTGCACTAGTTCGGCGAAGAGATGGTGATACAAGTGGTATATGGATAGTAGATAAAGGTTTTTGTAATATAAAAATATAAAAACATCAAGGTAACTAATGATAAAAGTGAGCGTAAACGGTATTGCAATGCTAGGAAACAAGGCCTAGGGTTCATACTTTCGCTAGTGCAAGTCCTCTCAACAATAATAACATAATTGGATCACATAACTATCCCTCAACATGCAACAAAGAGTCACTCCAAAGTCACTAATAGCGGAGAACGAACGAAGAGATTATGGTAGGGTACGAAACCACCTCAAAGTTATTATTTCCAATCAATCCGTTGGGCTATTCCTATAAGTGTCACAAACAGCCCTAGAGTTCATACTAGAATAACACCTTAAGACACAAATCAACCAAAACCCTAATGTCACCTAGATACTCCAATGTCACCTCAAGTATCCGTGGGTATGATTATACGATATGCATCACACAATCTCAGATTCATCTATCAACCAACACATAGAACCTCAAAGAGTGCCCCAAAGTTTCTACCGGAGAATCACGACGAAAACGTGTGCCAACCCCTATGCATAGGTTCATGGGCGGAACCCGCGAGTTGATCACCAAAACATACATCAAGTGAATCACGTGATATCCCATTGTCACCACAGATATGCACGGCAAGACATACATCAAGTGTTCTCAAATCTTTAAAGACTCAATCCGATAACTTTAAAGGGGAAACTCAATCCATTACAAGAGAGTAGAGGAGGGAAGAAACATCATAGGATCCAAATATAATAGCAAAGCTCGCGATACATCAAGATCGTATCACCTCAAGAACACGAGAGAGAGAGAGAGAGAGAGAGAGAGATCAAACACATAGCTACTGGTACATACCCTCAGCCCTGAGGGAGAACTACTCCCTCCTCGTCATGGAGAGCACCGAGATAATGAAGATGGCCACCGGAGAGGGATTCCCCCTCCGGTAGGGTGCCGGAACAGGTCTAGATTGGTTTTCGGTGGCTACAGATGCTTCTGGCGGCGGAACTCCCGATCTATTGTGATCCCCGATGTTTTTAGGGTATATGAAGATATATAGGCGGAAGAAGTACGTCAGGGGGGGCACGAGGATGGAAGGCGCGCCCCCTACCTCGTGGCCTCCTCGAAGCTTACTTGACGTAGACTCCAAGTCTCCCGGGCTTCTTCTGATCCAAAGATAAGTTCCGTGAAGTTTCAGGTCAATTGGACTCCGTTTGGTTTTCCTTTTCAGCGATATTCTAAAACAAGGTAAAAACAGAAACTGGCACTGGGCTCTGGGTTAATAGGTTAGTCCCAAAAATGATATAAAATTGTATAATAAAGCTCATAAACATCCAAAATAGTAGATAATATAGCATGGAGCAATCAAAAATTATAGATACGTTGGAGATGTATCAGAAGGCCGGGCTAATCATCAAGACGTTGGACCGGTGCCGGAGCACGACGGCGAGGAACAAGCCAGCGGAGGGATGCTTCTCGGTATATGTCGACGTGGACAGACAACGGTACGTGGTGCAGATAGAGTGCCTGAACCACCCGTTATTGTTCCAGGCACTCCTGGAGGAGGCTGAGGAGGCGTTTGGGTACGCAGACGCAGGGCCCCTCGAGTTGCCCTGCAACACCGAGGCGTTCGCCAAGGTGCTAGAGAAGATCAAGGAGGAGAAGCAGATGGTGGCGGGGAGGAGGCACGGCCTCCCCAGGGGAAACTCCTATCGGTCGCTTGGAACTGGCTGGCCTATGATTGTCGGCCGGTCGTAACATTTGTGTTTGGATTGGATGATGCCGAGTTGATGAGCTCTGAGTTTCTGTTGAGCTCCCATTCTCATATAATCATGTACACAGTTGAAAGCAATCTTAGCTCCCAAGTATGGTGGTAAAAAACATTACCATACACCGGGCAATGTTAGATATTTTTCTTCTTTACCCTTTTTGCTATTTCTGTGAGAAGGCAATGTTAGATGTTAATGTGTGTTCCCCTCCTAGGTTGTACTAGTAATTGTATGTGAAAGTGGTATACAGATATACGGTAGAATTTGTAAGTTTTGTGATGACTATATACTGCATAATATCACAATTCCAAAGTAGAATCGCGCACTTCAATTCATCTCACACAGATTGCAAGTTGGAGTTTATGTGTTTCTACAGTGTTTTAGGAAAAAGTGATGTAGGTGAAACCATGCTAACATTAATCAACCATAGTGTTTTTTCTGTACTTGATCCGTTACGCGAGTATGTACAGATTTTCTATCCAAGTTTGTTTCAAATCTATTTACTCATAGGACTACAGAGGCTCAACTCATATGGTCAATTTTTATCGAGAAAGCGCAAAAAAATTGTGTCTCGGCGCATTGATAAAAAGAAGAGTTTGTACAAGCCGAAAGACAGGTGACACCCAACATTACAACATGACCCCACTAAACGGTAGGCACTGCCCCTTTTGTAGCCGTTGGCTATTGCCTAGCTTCCGGCTTGATAGTGTCAAGGAGACGGTCTAAGCAAAGTAGAGAGTGTTGTCCATGATGACCGCATTTGCTTCCAGATGCACCATGCCACCAACATGATGATCGAGGGCATGCCCATCATAGTAGGGTTCTAGACGGAGTGACTCACTTGTTGCCACTAGTCCATGAAATCATCCCCTTGCAGAGGGGAAGGGGTGGTGTTGATCAGATCCAAGAGAGCACCTCGTGCCACACTATGCGCGAGAAGGAGCAACTAGTGAGAAGGTGTGTGCTTGTCTCCCCAGACTCGTCGAAGCACATACATAGGTGCGTGTTGTAGGTGACGTCTCACTAGTCATTGACCGTTCGGTGTCCAATGTCGCCGGATGATGTTTGGTGAGGTGGAAAGCAACACTCTACGCACCATCTGCCAGACTTGGATGTACTACCAAAGGGCCAGAGGGCTCAGGGCCCCCTGATGTCTGAGATCCAACAACGAACAGTCAAGGCCTCCGTTTCAATGCGCGGTGAGACCATAAGAAGGAGCTCAGGCGAAAGTTTAGAAATGTCATGACCGTCCAACCAACAATCTTCCTAGAATAAGGCATATGCTTTGCTAACCACCATCTTGATGGATGTAGCGAATACCTCGTGCTCACTATAGAAGAATTGAAGGTCTAGACCCCTCCATGGACCCTACCAAGGGGTCCGTGCACATCCTCCACAACCAACAGACATTGAGGCTAGTCGTCGGCCTGCTGAGGCCTGGGATGTCGAAGCCGCCAAGCCTCCCAAATAGAGTGGCCTCCACACCTTAAATCAATTGCCATGGTAGCGGTTGCCTTGCATGGCCGCTCTGCCAATCAGAGAATACCCCTCAGGATTTTTAGATCTCAAAGCAACACCCCACAACCTCCAACTATGGAGGCTTCGTGTTTGATTTGGAGCAACCTCTATAAATTTTGGCTATCTAGGGTGGGATGATAACTTTGCTAGAGCAGTATTTTCACCCAAAGTCAACGGCGGTTATTATGGCGACCTGGCACATATGAAGACTCTGCTTAAGTTGCTCTAAAGCCAGTTGACATGGCAGCGGCTGCCTTGCGTGGCGTCTTTGCTAACCAGAGGAAACCCCTCAAGATTTTAAAATCTCAAAGCAGGAATAGAAACATGTTTGCTGACTAAACACATGACAGTATAGCACACCAATGAAGCTTTGGCATCAATTAATTACTTAAGTGATCTAATATCAACAAAAGTAACAGCAGATGATGAACCAAAAAGGGAAACTCGGTTATAATCGTATGGCTTAAGGAAATGCAAAGAACAAATGAACAGTTGTTTAGTAGATGTTGTAACTGAGAAGATATACAGCAGCCATGGATTGATTGAATAAAAGGAAGACTGATATACATCAAGCAACCAAAGGAACTAAAATCAAGCTTCATACCTAATTTATGCACACTCTTACAAGGGAAGAAAACACAAAGATAGGACATGGGGTCAGTTTTCATGTAACCTGATGTGTCCACAAGACATTCGCTCCCTGAATGTCTCTGTGCAACGACAACTCAAAGATCAGCAGGCTCAAGCAATAAGCTCAAGACACACCACATGCACGGATCTATTGTACTCCTAATTAAATCTAGACAAACACTGTCCACTAATACACAAACACTGTCCAAAAAAGGGTAGTTTGTGCGTCAAGATCTAGGTGTCAAATTTCAGAGTGCCGATGACGTAAAGTCTCAAGTCTGAACCCATCAAACAAAGCCTCCCTTGGCACTGTCGGTTTGGAGCGTTGCATGCGCCGTTACTGCTGCTAACCTAAACAACTCCGCTTGTGGCTGGGAAGTTTGACACCTCAAACTAACCCAAATCATGCCGCAAGCGCTGGTCAGAGAGGATTAGAGGATTAACTAATGCGTGGCTAAATATGATGCATTATTTGCCATGACGCCACTCCATTGGCCCCTCCTCCAGCTCCAAGTCGACCAAGTCGACCATGATGGAATGAGGTAACACACGCTTCCACAATCCATAGTCGCAGCTAGCTAGCTCCTCCACTAGGCTAACCTTCCGAGGCTGCCAAATCGTACTCTAGATCTCTGATTAACATAATGTGAAGCATGGTTACTACTGTACGCGTGTGTCATGGAACGTATTAGAGTACAGATCCTAGTTGCTACTAAAGCAACAAGGTGCATCCTTCCAAAGATTCAACGAGTAAGGCACAAGGATTTATTCTATATGCACAATAATTGTCCAACTAATCTCCATCTGTTTTGTTTCTTTTTTTAACGGAATGGTCAGCAAAGTCTTTTGCGTATCCGTGAAAAACAAAACATTCGGGTCGCTCTCACTGGCTTCAGATTTCAAATACGGCCTTTCGATCGACAAACCACGTTTTGGCCAATCCCCCTATATAAATCGTTCCACCCCTTTCCTCTCCACCTCCCAATTCCAAGCTTGCTACAAATTCTTTGCAAATTTGCAACTAGCTATAGCCTGTGAGGTTTTGTGCACCATGGGCATGGCTGAGAAGAGTTCGGTGGCAAGGAAGGCCGGGTTGATCACCAAGACGCTAGACCGGTGCCGGAGCACGGTGGCGAGGAACAAGCCAACGGAGGGCTGCTTCTCGGTGTATGTCGGTGCAGACAGACAACGGTACGTGGTGCGGACGGAGTGCTTGAGCCACCCGTTGTTCCAGGCGCTGTTGGAGGAGGCCGAGGAGGCGTTTGGGTACGCGGACGCGGGGCCCCTCGAGCTGCCCTGCAACACCGAGGCGTTCGCCAAGGTGCTGGAGAAGATCGAGGAGGAGAAGCAGATGGTGGCGCGGAGGAGGCACAACCTTCTCAGGGGAAACTCCTATCGGTCACTTGGCACAGGCTGGCCTATGATCGTCAGCCGGTCGTAACACATGTCTTTGGATTGGATGATGCCGAGTTGATGAGCTTTGAGTTTCTGTTGAGCTCGCATTCTCATATTATCATGTACACAGTTGAAAGCAACCTTAGCTCCCGAGTATGGTAAACAACATTACCATAGACCGGGCAATGTTAGATATTTTTCCTCTTTATTCTTTTTTCAATTTCTGTGAGAAGGCAATGTTAGATGTTAATGTGTGTTCTCCTCCTAAGTTGTAGCAATTGTATGTGAAAGTGGTATACAGATACATGATAGAATTTGTAAGTTTTGTGATGATTATATATGGCGTAATATCGTAATTTTAAAATATGTACATGCAGTCCTCCTGCATGGTTCAATTTTTTTTAAAGTAGGATCGCACACTTCAATTCATCTCACAGTCTGTGTTTCTACCGTATTTTGGAAAAAAGTGATTTAGGTGAAACTATGCTAACATTAATCAACCATAGTGTTTTCTGTACTTGATCCATTCACAAGTATGTACTAATTTTCTATCCAAATTTGTTTCAAATCCATTTACTCACAGGATTACCGAGGCTGGTCAATTTTTATCCAAATAGTGCAAAAAGACTTGTCTCGACGCATTGATAAAAAAGAGTTTGTACAAGCCCAAAAATATGGGTGACACCCAGAGAATTACAACACGGTCCCACTAAACGGTAGGCATCGTCCCCTTTTTAGCCGTTGGCCATTGCCTAGAGCTTCCGGCTTGATAGTGTCGAGGAGACTCTCTAAGCAGAGTAGAGTGTTGTCCAAATTGACCGTGTTTGCTTCCAGATGCACCATGACACCAACATGATGATCGAGGGCATGCCCTTCGTAGCAGCGTTCTGGATGGAGTGACTTGCTTGTTGCCACTAGTCCACATGTCGACCGGATCCAAGAGAGAACCTTGTTCCACAATATGCACGAGAAAGAACAACTAGTGAGAAGGTGTGAGGTTGTCTCCCCCGACTAGTCGAAGCACATAGCTATGTGCATTTTGTAGGTCGCGTCTCGCCAGTCTCTCGGTTGTCCAATGTCGTTCTTGACAGGCAAGCCACATGAAGAAGTTGACCTTGGGGGAAGAAGGGCAAGACTTCCAATTCAACTTCCAGGAGTTCGAGCTGACCACTCCCTGAAAGAGGGCATCGTAGCAGCTCTTTGTGGTGTATTGACCGTTCGGTCTCCAACGCCACTTGAATTACCATCTGCATGACTTGGATGTATGCCATAGGGCCACAGGGCTCAGGGGCCCCTGATGTTCGAGGTCCAACGATGGCCAATCAAGGCCTCTCTGACGGTCTGCTGTTTCAGTGCATAGTGAGACCATAAGAAGGAGCTTAGGTAAAAATTTAGAAATGTCATGACTGTCCAACCAGCGATCCTCCTAGAATAAGGCATATGCTCTGTCACCAATCACCATCTTGGTGGATGCGGCGAATACCTCATGCTCACCATGGAAGAATTGGAGGTCTAGACCCCTCCATGGACCGAGGGGTCCGTGCGCATCCTCCACAACCAACATACCCTGAGGCTAGTCGTCGCTATGCTAAGGTCCAGGATACCCAAGCCGCCAAGTCCCCAAAGCAGAGTGGCTTCCACACCTTAAACCAATTGACATGGGAGCGGCTGCCTTGCATGGCCGCTCTGCGAACCAGAGAAAACCCCTCGGGATTTTTAGATCTCAAAGCAACGCCGCACAGCCTCCAAATATGGAGGCTTGCGGGCTTGATTTGGAGCAACCTTCATAAATTATGACTATCCAGAGTGGGATGATGACTATGCAGCAGCATTTTCATCCAAAATCGTCAAACAGGCTGGTTATTATAGCGACCAGACACATATGAAGACTCTGCTAGAGTTGCTCTTAAGCCAGCTGACATAGCAGTGACTGCATTTCGTGGCTGCTCTGCTAACCAAAGGAAACCCCTCAGACGTTTTAAATCTCAAAGCAGGAATAGAAACATGTTTGCTGCCTAAACACATGGCAGTATGGCACACCAATGAAGGTTTGGCATATTAAGTGATTTAATATTAACAAAAAATAACAGCAGACGATGACCAAAAAAAGGGAAACTCGGTTATATTCATATGGCTAAAAGAAATGCAAAGCACAAATGAACAGTTGTTTAGTAGATGTTGTAACCGAGAAGATATACAGCAATCGGCCATGGTTGTTCCATGGATTGATTGAATAAAAGGAATAGTTACTGATACATCACAAGCAACCAAAGGGGCTCACATCAAGCTTCAAATCTAATTTATGCTCACTGTTACGAGGGAAGAGAACACAAAGATACGACATGGGGTCGGTTTTCATGTAACCTGATGTGTCCACAAGACATTCGCTCCCTGAATGTCTCTGGGCAATGGCAACTAAAAGATCAGCAGGCTCAAGCAATAAGCTCAAGACACAGCACACACTCACCTATAGTACTCCTAATTAAATCTAGACAAACGCTATCCAAACAGGTGTAGTTTGTGCATTAAGATCTAGGTGTCAAATTTCGGAGTGCTGATGACGTGAAGTCTCAAGTCTGAACCCATCAAACAAAGCCTCCCTGGGCACGGTCGGTTTGGAGCGTTGCATGCGCCGTTGCTACTGCTAACCTAAACAACTCCACTTGTGGTTGGGGAGTTTGACACCTCAAAACTAACCCCAAGCATGTAGCAACCGCTGGGCAGAGAGGATTAACTAATCCGCGGCTAAATCAAATGCATTATTTGCCATGACGTCACGCCATTGGCCCCCTCCCTCCTCCAGCTCCTACCTCCAAGTCGATCATGATGAAATGATGTCACATACGCTTCCACAATCCACAGTCGCGGCTAGCTCCTCCCCTAGGTTAACCTTCCAAGGCAGCCAAATCACACTCTGAATCTCTGATTAACATATCATTAAGCATGATTACCACTGTATGCGTGTATCATGAAAGCGTATTATAATGCAAATGCTGCTAAAGCAACAGGCTGTATCCTTCCAAAGATTCAACGACTAAGGTGCAAAGGATTGATTCTTTTTTTTTTTTGCGGGGAGCAAAGGATTGATTCTATAATGTGCAATAATTGTCCAACTAATTCCATTTCTTTTTCGAACAGAATGGTGAGCAAAGTCTTGCATATTCGTGAAAAAGAAAGCCTTTGGGTCGCTCTCACAGGCTTCAGATTTCAAATACGGCCTTTCGATCGAGAGACCACATCCTGCTTGACCCGCCTATATATATATATATACCTTTCATCCCCACCTCCCAATTCCAAGCTTGCTACACCTTCTTTGCAAATTTGCAACTAGCTATAGCCTGCGAGGTTTTGTGCACCATGGGCATGGCTGAGAAGGGGTCGGCAGCAAGGAAGGCCGGGCTGATCACCAAGACGCTGGACCGGTGCCGGAGCACGACGGCGAGGAACAACAAGCCGGCAGAGGGCTGCTTCTCGGTGTACGTCGGTGCGGGCAGGCAGCGGTTCGTGGTGCGGATGGAGTGCTTAAACCACCCGCTGTTCCGGGCACTGCTTGAGGAGGCCGAGGAGGCGTTTGGGTATGCCGACTCGGGACCCCTTGAGCTGCCCTGCAACACCGAGGCATTTACCAAGGTGCTGGAGAAGATCGAGGAGGAGAAGCAGATGTCGGCTGGGAGGAGGCATGGCCTCGCCAGGGGGAACTCCTACCGGCTGCTCAGCACCGGCCGGCCTGTCATCATTGGCCGGTCGTAGCATGTCCATTTGTATTGGATAGGATGATGGCGAGTTGATGAGCTCTGAGTTTCTGTTGAGCTCATGTTCTCAGACTATCATGTACGTATTTGGAAGCAACTTCAGCAATTCCAAGTATGGTAAACAACATCACGGTATACTAGGCAATATTAGATATTTTTCTTTCTTATACTTGTTTCTACTTTTGTGAGAAGGCACTGTTAGATGTTAGTGTGTGTTCTCATCCTAAGTTGTAGTAATTGCCGGTGAAAGTGTTATACAGATAGTCAGATACACAATGGAATTTGTAAGTTTTGTTATGACTATGTATGGCATACTGCCATAATTCCACAATAGAATCACACACTTTAATTCATCTCACACTGATTGCAAGCTGGAGCGTCTCCATACTATGTTTCTCAGAAAAAAGTGATTTAGACGGAACTATACTAACATTAATAAACCATACTATCTTTCAGAAGTTCATCTGTTATGCAAGTATCACAGGGCCTCCACTTGACAACTCGTATGTCCAATTCTTAAATCTCAAAGCATGAATAGAAACTTGTTTTCCGACTAGACACATGGCACATCAGTGAGTTTGGCATCAGTTAATTAACTGATCTAATATCAACAAGAACTAATAGCAGACTAGGACCAAAAAGGGGAAACTCGGTTATAGTCGTGTGGCTTAAAGAAATGCAAAGAACAAATGAACACTTGTTCGGTAAGATATATAGCAACCTGCCATAGTTGTTTCATCAACTGACTGATCGAATAAAATGATGATTTTCGTAATAATAACAGATACTATATCACAAGCAATCAAAGGGACTGACATTAGGTTCAGAACCCTAATTTATGGACACTCCTACATGGGAAGTTAACACAAAGATACGACATGGGGCTCGTTTGCATGTCAACTGATGTGTCCACAAGACATTGGTCCCCTGAATGTCTCTAGGCAACGGCGGTTCGGAGTTCAGCAGGGCTCAAGCAATAAGCTCAAGACACACCCCACACACGCATCAAATACTATTAAACACTATCCAAACAAGTGTAGTTCGTGCATTATTAAGATCCAAATGTCAAATTCAGTGTGTTGATGACATAAAGTTTCAAGTCTGAACCCATCGAACAAGTCTCTACGAGCGCCTAATGCTAAGCTAAACGACCCTTGTGGTTGGGGAGTTAGACACCTCAAAACTAATCCCAATCATGCAGCAAGCGGAGGTCAGAGAGGACTAATCAGATTAAACCCGCGACTAAATCTAATGCATTATTGCCATGACACCACGCCAGTGGCATGTAGCTAGCTCCAAGTCGACCATGATGGCATGATGTCACACAGACCAGCTTCCTTCACAGTCACAGCTAGCTCCTCCTCATTAGGTTAACCTTCCGAGGCTGCCAAATCGCACCCTAATTAGCATACTAGTAAGTATTAGTACTGTACTCCCTCTGTAAACAAATATAAGAGTGTTTAGATCACTAAAGTATTATAGTACAAATGCTACTAAAACAACAAGGTGCAGTTCCAGTGAATAAGGTGCAACTCTTGATTCTATATGTGCAATAATTGTCTCATTAATTTCCATCTATTTCCCTTTGTTCTTTAGTGAGTGATGAGCAAAGTCCTTTTGCGTATTCGCGAAAAAGAGAGCCCTTTTGGGCCACTCTCACGGTCTCACCAGCTTCACATTTCAAAACACGGCCTTTCAACCAAGAGACCATGTCTTGGTTGATCTGTCTATATATGTCATCCCACCTCTCTCCTCCAATCCCCCAATTCCAAGCTTGTTCTACATTAATTGCAAACTTTTGCGACTACATGGCCTGTGAGGTTTTGCGCACCAAGGGGATGGCTGAGGAGAGGTCGGCGACGGGGAAGGCCGGGCTGATCACCAAGGCACTGGACCAGTGCTGGAGTACGACGGCAAGGAACAGCAAGCCAGCGGAGGGCTGCTTCTCTGTGTACGTCGGCATGGGCAGGCAGCGGTTCATTGTGAGGACGGAGTGTGTGAACCACCCGTTGTTCCGGGTGCTTCTGGCGGAGGCCGAGGAGATGTTTGGTTACGCAGCCACAGGGCCCCTTGAGCTGCCCTGCAACTCTGAGGCGTTCACCGGGGTGCTGGAGCAGATCGAGGAGGAGATGCAGATGGCGGCGGGGAGGAGGAGGTACGGCCTCCCCAGGGGGAACTCCTACCGGCTGCTCAGCACCGGTTAGACTGTCATCATCAGCCGATCGTAGCAGTACACTGGATTGGCATTGAATGATGCCGAGTTGATGAGCTCCGAGTTTCTGCTGAGCTCGCATTTTCAGACTATCATGTACACATTTTGAAGCAGCCTTAGCATTCCCAAGTATGATAAACAACATCATCATATACTGGACAATGTTAGATATATTTATTTCTTCTTCCTTCTTCCATTTTTGTGAGAAAGCCAATGTTAGCTGTTCATGTGTGTTCACCTTATAAGTTGTAGTAACTGTCGGTGAAAGTGTTATACGGATACATGATCTGATTTTTCAATTTGCGATATCTATATATGCCATAATGGAATAATTCCAAAGTAGAACCGCACACTTCAATTCATCTCAGCACAGATTGCAAGTTGGAGCGGCTATGTTTGTAATACATAATTAGATGGAACTACGCTAACATGAATCAACCATAGTGTTTTTGGTAGTTCATCGGTTATGCAAGTATCTACTGATTTGCTATCAAAATTTACAGAGCCTTAACTCATATAAACCAATTTTTAAATCTCAAAGCATGAATAGAAACATGTTTGCTGACTAGACACATGGCACACCAATGGAGATTTGGCACCAATTAATTAAGTGGTCTAATATCAACAAAAAACTAACAGCAAATGAGCACCAAAAAGGGGAAACTCGGTTATAGTCGTATGGCTTAAAGAAGCACAAAGAACAGATGAACGGATGTTTAGTAAGATATATAGCAGCCGGCCACGGTTGTTCCATCGATTTTGATCGAATAAAATGATGATTTTCATCTACATACTACAACATCACAAGCAATCAAAGGGACTAACATTAGGTTTCGAACCCTAGTTTATGGACACTCATATGAGGGAAGAGAACACAAAGATATGACATGGGGTTAGTTTTCATATCAACTGATTTGTTCACAAGATATTCGACCACTAGATGTCTCTGGGCAATGGTGATTGAGAGTCCAACAGGCCTTTTTTTTAAGAAACACTCTCAACACGCACACGCACACACTCACCCATATGAACACACACACCTCTAAGAGAGTGAACCAATAGATCTTAAGATTGACAAAGTCGCCACAGACACATTGTTCCACTGAAAAAATAGTGCCAGAAAATATGAAATAAATTCAGGAGATGTGCGAGCACTATTGCCAAATTTAAAACTTGAACCTAGATGAGCTGGTTCCACCACAAGGAACCTAACCATCTAAGCTATGCTTATGCTTAGTTCGCTAAAGCAATACACACCACACACACGCATCAAATACTATTAAACACTATCCACTAATACACAAACACTATCCAAACAAGTGTAGTTCATGCATGATTAAGATCCAAGTGTCAAATTTCAGAGTGATGACATAAAGTCTCAATTCTTTCTGAACCCATCAAACAAAGCCTTCACGGGCGCCGTCGGTTTGGAGCGTTCCATGCACTGTTGCTAATGCTAAGCTAAACAATCCTTGTGGCTGAGGAGTTTGACACCTCAAAACTAATACCAATCATGCAGCAAGGCCAGGTCAGAGAGGATTAACTAACCTGTAGCTAAATCTAATGCATTATTGCCATGACGCCACGACATTGGCCCCTCCTCCAGCTCCAAGTCGGACATGATGGCATGATGTCACACACGCCAGCTTCCCTCCACAGTCGCAGCTAACTCTTCCTTAGGGTAACCTTCCGAGGCTGCCAAATCGCACCCTAATTGACATATCATTAAGCATTAGGCCTGTACGCACATATCATCAAAACGTACTATTATAGTACTCAAATGCTACTATTATTAAAACAACAAAGTGCATCCTACCTAACATCCAACCAGTAAGGCGCAGAGATTGGGAGATTCTATATGCACAATAATTGTCTGACTAATTTCCATTCATTTCCCTCTCTTTTTTAATGGAAGGATGTGCAGAGTCTCTTGCGTATTCGTGAAAAAAGAAAGGCTTCAGGTCACTCTCGCCGGCTTCGTATTTCAAATACGGCTTTTCGATTGACAGAACCCGTCTTTGTCGATCGGCCTATATATACCGTTCCACCCCTTTCCTTCCCACCTCCCAAATTCCAAGCTTGCTACACATTCTTTGCAAATTTGCAACTAGATATAGCCTACGAGGTTTTGTGCGCAATGGGCATGGCTGACAAGAGGTCGGCTGCAAGGAAGGCCGGGCTAATCACCAAGGCGCTGGACCGGTGCTGGACCACACCGGCGAGAAACAGCAAGCCAGTGGAGGGCTGCTTCTCGGTGTATGTTGGCGCCGGGAAGCAGCGGTTCGTGGTGCGGACAGAGTGCGTGAACCACCCGCTGTTCCGAGCGCTGTTGGAGGAGGCCGAGGAGGTGTTTGGGTACGCGGATGCAGGGCCCCTCGAGCTTCCCTGCAACGCCGAGGCGTTTGCCAGGGTGCTGCAGCAGATCAAGGAGGAGAAGCAGATGGTGGCAGGAAGGAGGTTCGTCCTTGCCAAGGGGAACTCCTACCGGCTGCTCGGCACCAGCCGGTCTGTCATCATCGGACAGTCGTAGCATACAAATTGGATGATGGCGAGTTGATGAGCTCTAAAGTTTCTGTTGAGCATTCCCATTATGATAAACAACACCATCATATACTGGGCAATGTTAGATATTTTTCTTCTTCTTCTTTTTTCTATTTTTGTAAGGTAATGCTGGATGTTGATGTGTGTTCCCACCCTAAGTTGTAGTAACAGTCGGTGAAAGTGTTATACAGATGCACATTCGAACCTGTAACTCTTGTGACGTCCATATATGGCCCAATGTCGCAACTCCAAAGTGGAATCGCGCAATTCAATTCATCCCACACTGATTGCAAGTGGTTTAATGGAACTACGCTAATATTAATGAACTATGGTGTTTCTCCGCAGATCATCTGCATGCAAGTATCCACTGATTTGCTACCGAATTTGTTTTAAGTCCATTTACACACAGGATTACAGAGCCTCAACACAAATGCCAAAAATATTTAATCTCAAAGCACCAATAGAAACATGTTTGCCGGCTAGACACTTGGCACTCCAATGGAGTTTTGGCAGCAATTAATCTAATATCTACAAAAACTAACCACAGACAAGGACCATAAACAGGAAAACTCAGTTATATAGGTATGGCTAAAAGGGAGGCAAAAAATCAATGAGGAGTAGTTTAGTAGATGATGTAATCGGGAAGATATATAGCAACTGACCCAGTTGGATGTGCAGCAACCAGGGCAAGCTTAACGGTTCCAGGTATTCTTTGACCCTTTCAGAGGACTGAAGAACACCAAAGCATGGGATCAAGTATCAGTAAGGGGGAAAACAGACACTGCAAATTACCAAGTATTAAAATAAAAATTAACTGCTTGATCCAGCCTTTTCTTATTTTTTGAGTTTGCAACCAATCAGTTGAACACAAGTATCGTACAGCAACAATACTACCATAACTAAACATAGGGATATTCTCTGAATATCCAAAGACAAGGCGATAAATCATCCATGACGTGTCTCGATAAACAGCCTTTACAGCCGTGACCATGGCCTTTCTTGAATTTCTGTCTCTTTATTCTATAGCATGGAGAAGCTAGAGCCATTAGTTTTGGCTCCAACTAATACTGGTACTCCAGGGGTTCCCGAGACGTAAACTCTAACCTCGCTTTTATAAACTAACATTTTGTGGCCCCACGAACAAATGGAACCATTAGGCAGATGCAGAGATCTTCACATAATATTGCCTTAACCATTGACTAATTAATCCAGTGCTAACTTTTGAGGACTTGAAGCACCAACAAGAGTGCATCAGCTCTAGAAAATGGGTTAAATGTCCATCTTAACTTGATCCCTCTAGAGTCAAAAGTTGGATCCATATTGTTTTCACTACCTCAAGCTTATCTGAAAAGCTGGAGTCAAGAGCTTGGTGAAACCCCTGGTAAATAAAGCTTAGAAGCAAAATCAATATATCTTAAACATAATGGTATGTAAAAGTGGATCGAACTTCCGTCAGGCAGTTTTGGAGAGGAAAAGTCTACACTTCTATAAGATGAAACTTATTATTGTACAAATGCTGCTAAAACAACAAGTCACATCCTTCTAATTAAAGATCAATGAATAAGGTGCAAAGCTTGATTCTATATGTGCAATAATTGTCTGACTATTTTCCATCACTTTCCCACTCTTCTTTAATGAAATGATAAGCAAGTCTTTTGCGTATTCGCCTTTTAAAATAGCTTTTGGGTCACTCTCATCATCTTCATATCTCAAATACGGCCTTTCCATCGAGAGACCATGTCTTGGTGGATCCGTCTATATATACCATTCCACCCCTTTCCTCGCCACCTCCCAATTCCAAGCTTGCTACACTTTTTCTTCTTTCTGCAAATTGCAACTAGTTAGCCTGCTAACTTGTGTGCACCATGGGCATGGCTGAGAAGAGCTCGGCGACGAGGAAGGCCGGGCTGATTACCAAGACGCTGGACAGGTGCTGGAGCACACCAATGAGGAACAAGCCCGCAGAGGGCTGTTTCTCTGTCTACGTCGGTGCTGGGAGGCAGCGGTTCGTGGTGCGGACAGTGTGTGTGAACCACCCGCTGTTCCGGGCGCTGCTCGAGGAGGCCGAGGAGGTGTTTGGGTATGCGGCCGCAGGGCCCCTCGAGCTACCCTGCAACTCCGAGATGTTTGCCGGGGTGTTGGAGCAGATCGAGGAGGAGAAGCAGATGGCGGGACGAAGGAGGTGCGGCCTTGCCAGGGGGAACTCCTACCGGCTGCTTGGCACCGGTCGGGCTGTCATCATCGATCGGTCGTAGGATATGCATTAGATTTGATGATGCCGAGCTGATGAGCTCTGAGTTTTGTTGAGCTCGCATTCTGGGACTATCATGTAGTACATATTTGGAAGCAACCTTAGCGTTCCCAAGTATGGTAAACAACATCATCATATACTGGGCAAATGAGATACATTTCTTTCTTCTTCTTTTTCTATTTTGCATTTTTGTGAGAAGGCAATGTTAGATCTCGATGTGTTTTCCCCTCCTAAGTTGTATTATCTGTCGGTGGAAGTGTTATACAGAAATATAAAGAATCTATAAGTTTTTTTTATGTCCATATATGGCATAATGTTGCAATTCTAAAGTAGAATCGCACAGTTCAATTCATCTCGCACTGATTGCAAGTGGTTTGGATCAAATTACGCTAAGATACACCTATAGTGTTTTTCCACAGATATTCTCTTACGCAAGCATCCACTAATTTGCTATCCAAATCTGTTTGAATTCCATTTACACACTGGAATCTGGATTACAGAGCCTCAACTCATATGACAATTTTTTAAATCTCAAAGCACCGAAACATGTTTGCCTGCCTAGACATAGGGCACACCGAATGGAGGTATGGCATCAATTAATCAAGTGATCTAAATCAACAAAAACTAACCACAAAAAATGGCCATGAACGAGAAAAGTCGTTATGTTGATATGGTTAAAAAGTAGACAAAAAACAAATGAGCAGCAGTGCAGTAGATGATGTAGTCAGGAAGATATATCCACTGATTGATCGGACAAATGATGATTTGGCATCTATAAGGATCGATAGAACTAATGCCTCGGAAATGGAAAAGGGCTAAAGTAATGTTAGTTTAATACATTTGGTTGGATTCGTCTCCAGGTACATAAATTTATTCAAGACAAAGCTATAGAATTAGTGCATTAATGTACAATACTGATAGCATGTGGGTTACCATTTTCACTGTCAACTGATGTTTTTTCTCCAGCCAATACCGCTTGATGCTTTGCTAGGGACATTTTTGCAGAACTGTAACTTCAGAACCAGTCGATGAGCAACCTCCTTTGATCCTGCAATCAAGGCAAGGTTAACCAGCTCCAGATGGCGAGACTGGGTGACGATGCTGCTATCTACCTCGCACTCGTCCTACCTGCTCAACGGCCTACCGGGGCAGTCGGTGTGGCACAAAAAGGGACTAAGGCAGGGCGATCCCATTTCTCCATTGCTGTTTATCATAGCCATTGATCCCTTGCACCGGCTGTTGCAAGCTGCTGGCGAGCTGGGGCTACTCCAACCTCTGCCGGGTAGAGAAATAAAGCTGAGGGTCAGTCTCTATGCAGATGATGCGATCATATTCGCCAACCCGATTAAAGAAGAGATTGAAACGCTCATGCAAATTGTGCACTGCTTTGGAGAAGCCTCTGGTCTGAAGATCAACCTTCAGAAGTCCACGGCCACGCCGATCAGATGCTCGGGCATTGACATGAAGCAAGTTCTGCAGAGCTTTGGAGGGCGGCTCGCCCACTTCCCGCTCACATACCTGGGGTTGCCAATCAACATCAAACGTCTTAGGCTGGTTCACCTGCAGTTCATTCTGGATAGAATCAGGGCCCGCCTAGCCGGATGGAAAGGAAAGCTGCTGTCTATAGCTGCAAGAAGAGTGCTGGTCAGGGCTGTCCTTAGCTCGCTGCCAACTTTTGCAATCACAGCGCTGCGGGTGCCAAAAAAAATTCTGCAAGAGGTGGACAAATCCCGTCGCAAATTTCTTTGGGCGCAAGATGAAGACTTGACTGGCGGCAAATGCAAAGTAAATTGGTCCAAAGTTTGCTTGCCTACAGAGTACGGTGGCCTCGGCATGCTTGACCTCTCAAAATTCAGCAGGGCCCTGAGATTGAGATGGCTATGGCATTCTTGGGTGAGCCCAGAACGGCCTTGGGTGGGGATGGAAGTGTCTTGCGATGAGAGCGACAAGGCGGCATTCAGGGCAATGACAATAGTCACCATCGGTGATGGTTGCAAGGCTACCTTTTGGGAGTGTGCCTGGGCTAGTGCCGAGCCTCTCAAGACGGCCTTCCCGCGTCTCTACAAACACTCAAGAAGAAAGAACAGGACTGTGCAGGCAGCTCTGCGTGACAACACTTGGATCAAGGACTTAGCACATGGCAACGTTAACCCTTTCCTCCAAGAATTCCTGACCTTGGAAAGACTGATCAGAATGGCCAGAACGTGTATGAGGCAGGGGCAGCCTGATGAAATCAAGTGGAAATTCACGGCCAGTGGGATCTATAGCACGTCGTTAGCATACCAGGCACAGTTTCTTCGATCGGTTCAGGCTCCGTTCAGAAAAACCGTGTGGACGGCTTGGGCCCCTGGCCGGATCAAAATCTTCTCCTGGTTGTTGCATCTGGATCGGCTATGGTGCATCGATAGGCTGCAAAGAAGAGGATGGGAAAATCAATACTTCTGCCAACTTTGCCTTCGACACCTTGAAAGTTCAGTGCATCTATTCCGGCGCTGCGAGCTGTCTCTGAAGATCTGGGAGAAGGTGGCCTCGTGGCAGGGCTGCCAGGCTGTGCAGCCAGGTCTCTGGTCCTCCCTTCAACGCTCAACAGAGATCATGGACACGATTATCAGCAACGCCGCGACGGGAAGCAGTAAGGGCATCAAAACCATCATCTTGCTGGTGCTTTGGGAAATATGGCTGGAGCGGCACCACTGCACCTTCAGAGGCAAGGTGGCGCAGCAGACAGACATCCTGGCTGCGATCAGGTGCAATATCGAGCTATGGCGGCAAGCTGGAGCCCAGTGTCTTGCACTGCCATTTGCAGAGCCACCAGCGGGGATCGGCTAAGACGCAGCATCACTTCACCTGGCCGGCTGCGCCTCTTTCCTCTTTCTTTTCATTTCTTCCTTTGATCTCTGGATCACCCCCCATGTATTTGTTTTCCCGCTTCTACCTGCTTAATATATGAATGCCAGCAATTTGCTGGATCTTTCAAAAAAAAGGCAAGGTTAACGATTCCAGGTACTCTTTGACTCATTCAGAGGACTGAAGACCACCAAAGCATGGGATCAAGTATCAGTAAGGGGAAAGCAGACACTGCAAATTATTGGGTACTATATTGTTGCTATTGTTTGAATTTGCAACCAATCAGCTGAACCCAGGGACCGTACAGTACCCATTCTACCATGACTTAGAGATATTCTCTGAATATCCAAAGACAGAAATCGTGTATGCCGCGTCTCAATAAACAGCCTTGACCCATGCCCGGTTTTGTTGAATCTCTGGCTCTATATTCTACAGCATGGAGAAGCTAGAGCCATTAGTTTGGCTCCAAGTAACACCGGCACTCCAAGGGTTCTAGAGACGTAAACTCTAACCTCACTTTTATATAATTGCCACTAGCATTTCCTGACCCCATGGACAAATGGATCCATTATCCAGATGCAGAGATCTTCATATAATATTGCCTTAATCATTGACTAATTTATCCAGTGCTAACTTTTGGAGGACTTGACGCACCAACAAGAGTGCGACAGCATTAGAAAATGTGTTAATTATCGATCTTAATTTGATCCCTCTAGAGTCAGAAGTTGATTATTTTCACTACCCCCAACTTGTCTGAGAAGCTGGAGCCAAGAGCATGGTGAAAGTGAAACCCCGAGTAAATGAAGCCTAGAAGCAAAGCCAACATGTCTTAACATATAATGGTATGCAGAAGTGGATCAGACCTTCATCAAGCAGTTTTGGAAGGGAAAAAAAATTCTTATGGCAGCAAGAGCAGATGCACTTTAAAATTGGCCAGCAGACCAAATATGAATGTTCCTGCCACAACCTAAAACCAAATATCTGTCACCTCTAAGTAAAATCTACCTGCAAATCACAGTGTTCTGTAAGGCCTGAGCTATGGGGGGACTCTAGCTACTCGCAATTTCAGAAAACATCAAGAACAGGGGGGTGAAATTGGGTGGTATTAACTTAGGGTTTCTTACAGCAAGAGGAACAGATTTGCCAGCCGGAACACGGTGGCTAGGGGGAAACCCTAATACAATTACTCGATGCCTCTCCCAGCCTCTCGATCCTGGCTTTATAGCCATTACATGAGTAAAAGTAAACAGAGGAAATAACAGAGTAAGTGGAGTTGCCGGAAAGGTAACAGTGACAGCTGAAGTAGCGGCCACCGTCCGATCAACAATCCACGCTCCAGATCATCCCGCCAGTGCACGAAGCGGTACGAGGGTTGGGGTGCACTGGATGGCGATTGGTTGGTCCAGTTTGAATCATCCTCACGAAGCATTACGCCGAGTTAACTGAAGAAGATGCCGCTATTGTTATCTTCAGGCAGGGTCCTGACAATCCCCCGGAGTGAGACCAGACTTGCCCTCAAGGATGGAAAGCTGGAAACACCTTTTGGATGAAACCCGAGTCCTCCCAGGTAGCTTGTTCTTCTGGTAAATTCCTCCATTTGATGAGCCAGCGGACAACGGGGATAGAGATATCACCTTGCTTGCGGGGAACGAGCTTTCTGTCCAACAATGTCTTTGGTTCCAGCAGAACTGTCCCATCTGGATTAAGTAGTGGGAGTTGAGGGTTCGGAACAACATTAGGCCCCAAGTGCTTCTTCAATTGACTAACATGAAAGGTGTCATGTAACTTGCAGTCATCAGGTAATAGCACTTTATAAGCAGCACTTCCCACTTTGGCCATTACTCTGAAAGGGCCATAGTATTTGGAATGAAGTTTTAAGTTCCTGTGGATACTCAAAGAAGTATGTCTATATGGTTGGATCTTAAGGTAAACCATATCACCAACTTCAAAGGTTCTCTCTCATCGTTTCCTATCAGCAAAGAATTTCATCCTTTCTTGGGCTTTCAGTAAGTTTTCTTTGATGATAGCAGCAGTATCTTCCGGTGATAGGGAGAATTGAGTATCTTCAGGAAGAATAGCAGGGTATAAAGCAGATTCAGCAATCATTGTTGGTTTCCTGCCATACACTGCTTGAAAGGGGGTCATTTGCAGAGCTGTGTGGAAAGAAGTGTTGTACCACCATTCAGCCAGGGAAATCCAGTAGCACCACTTCTTGGGCTGATTGAAAACCATGCATCTCAGGTAGTTTTCCAGGCACTGATTAACTCTCTCTGTCTGCCCATCAGTCTGAGGGTGGTAGGAAGTGCTCAAGTGCAACTTGATCCCCAACCTTTTGAAGAGGTCCTGCCACAAATGACTGGTGAAGATTTTGTCTCTGTCAGTGACAATTACACAAGGAAGACCATGTAGCTTGAAAACATTGTCAATGAAAGCCGTAGCTACTGATCTGACAGAGATTGGATGTTTCATAGGGATGAAGTGACTGTATTTAGTAAATCTGTCTACTACAACTAGGATGAGATCTTTGTTGTTGGAAGTTGGTAAACCCTCTACAAAATCCATGGAAATGTGTGTCCAAGCAAACACTGGTGTTGGAAGAGGTTGAAGCATTCCAGGATATTTGCAATGTTCAGGTTTGTTGATTTGGCAGACAGGACACTGCTGAATAAAGTGTTGAACACTCTTTTTCATACCAGGCCAATAAAACAATAATTTCAGCCTGTTGTAGGTAGCTCTCTGTCCTGAGTGGCCACCCAATTCACTGCTGTGGAAGGCTGTTAGTATACTAGTTCTGAGCTTATCATCTTGGCCAACCACTACTCTGTTTTTGTATCTTAGAAGCCCTTGATGTAACTTGTAGTTAGGTGTACTGTCAGGGGCTACAGCTAGCTTAGTTAACAACTCTTTGCATGTGTCATCTTGAGTGTAACTGGCAATAACCTCAGTGACCCAGGCAGGGTGAACAACAGTGCCCGTGAGTGCCTGAATTTGTAATTTGACTCTGGAAAGAGCATTTGCCACTTTGTTTGTTTTGCCCTTTTTGTATTCCACCTTGTAATTGTAGCCAAGAAGTCTGACCAGCAGTTTATGTTGTATTCCTTCTGTTAACTTCTGATCTTGAATGTACTTTAAACTTTCCTGATCAGTTCTGATTATCAGAGAGGAAGCTGCAAAGTAATGCTTCCACTTCTTCAGTGCTTCCATGATTGCAATAGCTTCCTTGTCATAAGTGGACAAGGTTTGAGCTCTAGGGACAAGTGTTTTACTGAAGTAAGCTAATGGCTGTCCTTTCTGCATTAGCACTGCTCCAATTCCATAATTGCAAGCGTCAGTTTCCAGTATAAATGGCTGAGAGAAATCAGGAAGCGCAAGGACAGGGGTTTCAGTCATCCTGTGCTTTAGTATGTTAAAAGCATTCTGCTGTTCTTCTCCCCAAATGAAGCCCTCTTTTTTCAAAGCTTGAAATAAGGGTTTACAGATGTAGCCATAGTTTTTGACAAATCTTCTGTAGTAACCTGTGAGGCCAAGGAAACTCCTGAGTTCGGTGACAGAAGTAGGAGTGGGCCAGTTAACCACAGAGGAGATCTTAGCAGGATCTGTAGCTACACCATCTTTGCTAATAATGTGGCCCAAGTATTCCACTTGTGGCTGTCCAAAAATACACTTCTTCTCATTTGCTACCAGCTTGTGTTTTTTCAGTGTTTCAAACACTATCTTCAAATGCTCACAATGTTCCTCCTCCGTTTTGCTAAAAATGAGGATGTCATCGAAGAAAACCAGAACGAAAACTCTCAGATAAGGAGCTAGAATTGTGTTCATCAAGAGTTGAAAAGTTGCAGGTGCATTGGTCAATCCAAAGGGCATCACTAGATATTCATAATGGCCCATGTGAGTAGCAAATGCAGTTTTGTGGATATCTTCTTCTGACATTCTGATCTGGTGATACCCACTGGTGAGATCTATCTTGGAGAAGATTGTAGCACCAGAAAGTTCATCAATGAGGTCCTCAATTATTGACAAGGGGTACTTATTTTTAACAGTTTGGGAGTTCACTTTCCTGAAATCATTGCATAGTCTCCAGCTTGCATCTTTCTTCTTTACTAGCAGTGCAGGGGAGGAGTAGGGGCTGGTACTGTCTCTGATAATGTTGTCATCAACCATTCTTTTGATGAGCCCTTCCATAATATCTTTCTGGTGATGTGGTAACCTATAAGGTCTGATATTGACAATTTTTGCATCAGGTTCCAAGGGAATTTTGTGATCACAGTCTCTTTTGGGGGGCAGTCCCACACGTGCACTGAAAACATCTTTATGTTCAGTGATGACTTGCTGCACCTTAGGGGGTGGAGCTGTAGTTGCTACCTCTTCTTTTTCCACCACTAGTCTGATCAATAAGAATGCTCCTCCTACAGCATCTTCCATCAGGTTATGTACAGAGGAGGTATCTTGAATTTCCAGATCAGAAGATATAGTTTCATCCACTATGTGAGCTCTAGTTCCATCATGCAGTTTAATTTCCATGAACATTTCTTCATAATCCATCCAGATAGGACTGACTTGGCAAAGCCAGTCAGCTCCTAAAATCATGTCATAACCAAACAACTTCAGCACTCTACAGTCAGACTTGAGTTCATGACCTTGAATAGTATAAGAACAGTCTTTGACTATTTGGTCAGTAGACAAGTATCCCCCATTAGCTACTGTCACCTTGAGTTTCTTAGTTGGTAACAGTGTACATTGTGCTTTTTCGGCAATCTTGGGAGATATAAAAGTGGTTGTACTACCACTATCAATAAGAGCAAGGGCAGTGCAGTTATTGATGTTGACTTTGACAGTAAATGTGTACTTTTTCAGGCTCAATCCCATCAGGGCATGCATAGAAATTTGTAAGTTCTGGTCAGGCAGTTCAGCAGCAATCTCTTCCAGTTCTTCTTCAAAATCAGTGAAATATATTATTTCAGCATCTTCAGGAACTTGGCCTTGTAGAGCTTGAACTTGGGCCTGTTGGGACATTTTGCATACTTTCCTATGTCCAGGGAACCACTTTTCATTACATTTATAGCAGACTCCCTTTAATCTAGCTTGTTCAATAACAGCAGATGGGGTAATATTCTGAGGTCTGTTAGGAATGAACTGCACTTGTCTCCTGACAGGCAGGGGTTGGTTTGGTGCTGCTTGTCTTCGGGGAGGTTGAGTTTGCTCCAATCTTCTAGCTAACCAAATAGCCTTTTGTAATTTTTGAGGTTCATGGCATTGGATGAGATGTTGTATGCTATCATGCAAACCAGAAATGAAACTGTTCATGTAGTAAGAGTCAGGTAGGGCAGGATTATCTCTTCTCATCAAGTTCATCAGTTGCTCAAACTGGAGTACATATTCCTTAACAGATCATGTCTGTGTGAGAGCATGAAAACTCCTGACATTATCACAAATAGAAGATTCAGAGAACCTGTCCCCTAGGTGTCTACAGAACCTGTACCAGGGCATAGTTGCTGCAATATAACCAGTTCCTCTCCACCATTCAATGGCGGGTCCTTTCAAGTAAGTGACTGCTATCTCAGTTTTGGTTTCAGGTGGGGTTCTAGCAGCATCAAAGTAAAGGTCCATGGTTTGAATCCAGGAGTCCGTGTTATCTCCTTCAAATTCAGGCATGTTCATTTTAGCAGGCTTGACTAGAGTTGGGTTTCTTCTGTCAGTTAACAGTGGATCTCTACCAGGTCTTCTCTGGCCTTCCACCTGAACTTCCACTTGCTCAAGTTGATGTTGTTGGTCAGGAAGGGTCACTTGTGGTTGCCCTTGTTTTTCCACAGGAGGTTGAGCCGGCTGCTTAACCTGTCCAAAATGGGGATGTCTGTAAGGCTGTTTAACAGTGCCATCCAGGTGAAGTTCCTTGCCTGTTTCGACATCATGTAGCACTCCAGAACCAGCTGTAGGAGGGGTATTGAATGCCTCTGGTGCATTCCTTACTTGTGCTTGAGGTGTAACTTGGTGGACACTGCCATGTGCTCCCAAAGGAGTTGTTGGACCTGGATCTCATGGGTGTAAAGCAGTGATCAAGTGAGTCAGAGAAGACTGCATTTCTAGCAAGGTTTTCTGAACATCATTGAAGTTCTTATTGACTATGACTTGAAACTCTTGGAAATCTTGCCGATCTTGTTCTCTATTCTGCTGCAGCAGCTTGACGTCCAACTTGAGGGACTGCATCTCCAAGTCTGTCGTGGTCGATGATTCTGGTGGTGCTCCCATCGGATCCGTCCGGTTTTACTCAAAGCAGAGCACTCTGAGACCCGACAGATCAGAAAACGAACAACGGGGCCAAGCGAGGAATTTTACCACAGCAGAAGCTGCAACCCGAGCTTGACGTCGTCGTTCCCGCCGCCGATGGTGTTCAAGAGGGAAGGGTGGGTGGGATTTTAGACCGAAGAAGTGTTCTTCAACAACCACTACCCCGCAGCCTCTAACACCCGAGCTGTCTACCGCCGCCTGCGCCACCAGAACTTCTCCGCCGCCGCCGATCTGGGTTGACAAAGGAAGGAGGATGGCCCCAACCCTTTACCAGATCTCTCACTCTGCCAAGAAACGTCGGCTCTGAATACCAAATTGTAAGGCCCGAGCTATGGGGGGACTCTAGCTACTCGCAATTTCAGAAAACATCAAGAACAGGGGGGTGAAATTGGGTGGTATTAACTTAGGGTTTCTTACAGCAAGAGGAACAAATTTGCCAGCCGGAACACGGCGACTAGGGGGAAACCCTAATACAATTACTCGATGCCTCTCCCAGCCTCTCGATCCTGGCTTTATAGCCATTACATGAGTAAAAGTAAACAGAGGAAATAACAGAGTAAGTGGAGTTGCCGGAAAGGTAACAGTGACAGATGAAGTAGCGGCCACCGTCCGATCAACAATCCACGCTCCAGATCATCCCGCCAGTGCGCGAAGCGGTACGAGGGTTGGGGTGCACTGGATGGCGATCGGTTGGTCCAGTTTGAATCATCCTCACGAAGCGTTACGCCGAGTTAAATGAAGAAGCTGCCGCTGTTGTTATCTTCAGGCAGGGTCCTGACATGTTCCCCCCAAATTCCCGTAGGATAAACTCCCCGGCATCAAGCACCAACCGAAATAACACTTTCACCGATGCCTATGCTTAGGTCCTAAGACGATCCAGAATGGGTCGCGAGACCTAGCCGTGGGGATTAAAAGAAACACAGCAAAAAACGAAGGAAAAATCCCAGGGAATCTATGCCGAGCACTTAGAACCGGAAGATAATTTTTGTTCCTGCGGACGGGGCTTCACGGCGGAAGGCGGCGACCCGCCGCTCCGCTCCGCCTCTTCGCCATGGCGCAAGGTTGGGGACAATGGAGCGGCCGCTACGGTAATATTCCGACGCGCGAGGGGCTTACGCGCAAAAGCTACCAAACCAAATAACCAATGGGCTATAGCCTTTTTCCGGACAGTCACCGGAGCGAGCGGCCCAGTCCAGTCCATTCCAGTGCAGTCCATTCCGGCCCACCTTACCTCCCCCTGTCCTTGCGGCCCAAGAGCGACCCCCTAAACCCTAATCCAGGCACTGGACGGCGGAGGCCTCACGACCCCGCCACACACCCCGCATCGGACGCTCAGAAATCATCCACGTCCCCCCGACGCCTCCTTTATAAAACTTCCCCTCCGCACCGAAGCGCCAGTCGGCCGCCTCCCCCCTCCACCTCCTCCCCAGCGTCGCCTCCCGTTCGGAACCCCAAGCTCCCCCGCCGCCGGCGAAATGGTGCGTCACCGCCACCGGCCCGCGCCTAGCCCCACGCCGTTCCACCGCGCTTCGTCCTCCTGGACGGATCCCCCGCGCTTCTTCTTTTCTGCGGTTTTGATTTGGTGTTCGAATCTCGTTCTAAGTGTATGGATCGCGAATCTTGCAGGCCCCGAAGCGAGGCGGCAAGGCCCCGGTGCCGGCGAAGAAGAAGGCGGCGGTACTGCACCCACTCCTCTGCTGCGCCTTTGAATCTCTGCGGTGTCCACCGGTCGAGGCGCGTGTGATCTGACTGGGTTGGGTTGGTGTGTGGTTGCAGGACAAGGTGGTGAACCCGCTGTTCGAGAAGAGGCCGAAGCAGTTCGGCATCGGCGGGGCGCTGCCGCCCAAGAAGGACCTCCACCGGTTCGTCAAGTGGCCCAAGGTCGTCCGCATTCAGCGCCAGCGCCGCATCCTCAAGCAGCGCCTCAAGGTGCCCCCGGCGCTCCACCAGTTCACCCGCACCCTCGACAAGAACCTCGGTATATACAGAGCTCATCTATTCATTCATTCGTCATTTGACATTGGAGTCCATAATGCCTGAGGACGTTGGTAGATGTACTGTACTATTTTGACTTGTGGGTATGCAATAGCTAAGTGAGCGAGTCTTGACTTTGTCAAGATAATGAAAAGAGTTGATGGATGTGTTTTAAGGTTCCTGCTGTTAGGATACATTGGGAGGGGGCTCTCTTCTTGCATGATTAGGGCAATGCATGCTGTTCTCCTACATGCCTACTATATTTTTTACTGGATATATTGGCATGCCATGACAGTATGAAGTAGTAGAATGGCTAGCACAAGCTTTCACTTCTAACTTCTAAGGATGCCAGCAGTAGGAAGAAGCATTGTTGCTATGTTTGTACCTGAAGTCATGCCTTCTATATTAGCATTTCCTTTATGTTGCAACGTGTTTACTTGCTAGCTCATGAATTATGCTGTAATGTATAGCAACAAAAGCAGCCAGCGAGTATTTGACTAGTTTAAGTTCAATTCCGCTGCATACTGCGTCACTTTAGTTTCTGCAAAAACTTTGTTACAAATCTCTGATATTAATTGCTTGTTGCAGCCACCAACCTGTTTAAGATGCTTCTCAAGTACCGCCCTGAGGACAAGGTGGCTAAGAAGGAGAGGCTTCTGAAGAGGGCCCAGGCTGAGGCTGAGGGGAAAACCGTTGAGGCCAAGAAGCCAATTGTTGTGAAGTATGGTCTTAACCATGTCACTTACCTCATCGAGCAGGTACTGATATGAGTTACCTCTTTGTTTGACCTAATTAATCCTTATTCCTAGCTTCTTTTGTGGCTACAATAATCATTCTTATGATCAATCCTTGTGTTCTGTGCTGCAGAGCAAGGCTCAGCTGGTCGTCATCGCTCATGATGTTGACCCAATTGAGCTGGTTGTGTGGCTCCCAGCCCTGTGCAGGAAGATGGAGGTCCCATACTGCATTGTTAAGGGAAAGTCACGCCTTGGATCGGTATATTTTCTCCTGCCACCCCCTCTTGAACACTTATTAAATCTTTAACAGTAACCAGAAACAAATGCTCACTTTGTCTTGTCCCCTATAGATCGTTCACAAGAAGACTGCCTCAGTTCTGTGCCTTACCACTGTGAAGAACGAGGACAAGCTTGAGTTCAGCAAGATCTTGGAGGCTATCAAGGTATGTGGCTCATATAACCTTTGCTATCATTGATATGCAGTCCACCTGTGAACACTTCTAATGACTCCGGTGTCCATTATTCTGCAGGCTAACTTCAATGACAAGTTCGACGAGGTCAGGAAGAAGTGGGGCGGTGGTGTCATGGGCTCCAAGTCGCAGGCCAAGACCAAGGCCAGGGAAAGGCTCATCGCCAAGGAGGCTGCGCAGAGGATGAACTAAGCCTAGCCTTATATGTCAGAGCATATGCCATGTAGTTTCCCTTTCAGTGTGTCCTGATTTTGACGAGGAACTCGAACCCTTTTAGCAGCACTGTGGAATCGTATTGTGGTTTTCTGATTCTCTGTTCCGTTCGCCAGACTTATGCAAAGATCAGATGAGGTTTACCCATGTTTGGATTCTATATAGTTTTATGCCCTTTGTCGAGTCAAAGTTGGTTGTGTGTTTGTTCTGAGACCTAGGGAATTAAAAATATTGCGAGCTCCTGTCCAGCATGAAAGTATTCAATGACCTTTTTAGTGTTGCGTCACGTATCATGCTAGCGGGCGCTGCACAGAAACGATGCTCGTGCCATCCTCCGCTCTAAAGACCCAGCACCCTGATGCACTCTTAGGTATATCCTGTACTCTCTCCGGTCCTTTTTACTCTTTTCGGTCCTTTTTACTCTTGTGTATTAGGTTTGTGTCTAAGTTGACCAAATTAGTATTAAAAAATATCAACATCCGCAGTACCAAATATATATATATATATATATATATATATATATATATATATATATATATATTATGAAGCTACATTTCATAATAAATCTAAAATTTGTATTAGAAAATATCAACATCCACAGTACCAAATATTTTGACGGGAACAAGGCAAAAGAACTTGCCATTTTCATCGATTAAGAAGAAGAGAATTGTCCGGTTAATTGACGGAAAACCTGGCTAAAACTGATACAACACTGCCCACATGACATGGGCACCACCGACCAACCTGGCTACCGGCACATGCCAACAGATGGCCATATTGGACTCGCTTCAACGCAGCTCCGACTTCACAATACCAAATATATATACTATATCAAATATATATACTACGAAAATACATTTTGTAATAAATCTAACAATGTTGATTTGATAATGTGAATCTTGATATTTTATAAATTTGGTCAAAGTAGAGATACTTTGACTTCAGACAAAACTTATATGCAGATTAAAAAGAATCGGATGGAGTACAACAGACAGTACTATTTTCCCTCTTTCCATGTCAGCTTCTACGTGTTGTTTGATGCATAACATTGAGTCCGATGTAATTATTCAAGAATCTATGGGATGCTATTGGCGGTGACGGGCTTATGGTGCGCCACTTCATTATGCACGCTCCTATAGATATACTTCTTACCGACTGATTATGGCTTCTCTGACTAGAGAAGGAAATGTCGGGAGGAAATAGAGATGATAGGACCACCTGAATGCTGGAGATGAGTGCTCATCGTATTCCCTCAAGGAAAGCGGAGGCCCTCGCGGAAAGATCAAAGAAAATAAAAAGCACAACCGCCTCTACCTAGAGTAAAGAAGCTTTGTGCAAGGCGGTTTTGCAGGCAATTTTAAAAAGTACTTTTTTTGGTTGAGCTCATAACCCGGTTTGGGCCGATTGACTCTGAGAGCGATCGAGGGGTCGCGGGCTGTCCTTCACAACATCACGAGGATACAAGGGAGCTCATCTTCAGTGCAGTGTTGTAGTAGGTGTAAGAGAACTGAGGTCTAGCCAGTAGATAGTAGAGAGGAGGGCTAAATCCAGGTTAATGTCGTGCATTCCGGTCCAGAATTCTTGACCTCCTCCGGTCTTGCATTTTCCAATGATTGCTTATCGCCCTCCAGAGACCCTGCACCATAGGACATCTACAAAATACATGGAAGGTGTCCTCGCGATTCCACCCACGAATTAAACATGTGATGCGCCCTCTTTGCTCTATTTGCCATTGTGTCTAGTGAGATGGTGACAAGATGCCACTCAAAGATGCGTACCTTTGGACGGGCAGGTACCCCTATAATGTGAGGTCCGGTGCCTTGCTCATGGAGCATGTAGACGTGCTGGTACGCTCGTCAAGGGCGAGACAGTAAGCACCGCGGACATTGAAATTCCCTTTCAGGTCCGGAGCCCAAACAAGGACGTCGTCGAGGCGCCACGACGATGGCTTGATCAATAGGATGGCCGCTACATCCATGGGGATGAAGTAGCGACGAAGAAGCTCGGGCTTCCACCTGCCGCTTTCATCCAGTAAATAAAGATGGAAAATTAAGTAAAGAAACATACCAGAAAATAAACATAACCATAAACTGAACTTATTTTTTTTAGCTAATAGACTAAACTTAAAAGAAGAGGCAAAACAGGAGGAAAAAAAGTGGCACATGGGCCGGCTCATGCAGTGCACTCGAACACGATTTGCCGCGAGGGAGCCCAGCTTTCACCTCGGCCGAATCTAGTCTAAAAAAGACACAGCGAAACACCAACCTACCCTCGAGTTTAGGGTTTACGGCCTCCGGTGGCGATCTAATCGCCGGCGAGAGGATTTACGATACCTACCCCACCCGTCGCCGTGACCGCGCCTAGCGTGGCGTCCGGCGCTGTGTGTGGTTTGTCTGCTCCCGCAAAGTACCAGGGACTTTCGATCTGGGAGATGGCGGCGCCCGCTGGCTCGTCTTCGGCGGCTGGTTGGAGCGGCAAGAACCTGGAGGAGATGATGGAATTTCTGGACTTGAAGGATGATGAATTGGATGATGTGATTGTTGGGGATGAGGAGGTGAAGCGATTTGAGGCTGATGCTAGATGGCTGGCGATCGGGAAACTGAATACGTCCCGCCCGTTCAGCTCTCCTGCCATGTTTGAGACCTTGAAGTCAGTTTGGGGATTAGCGCATGTGCCAAGATACAGGGAAGCAGGGGATAATCTCTTTATATTCCAGATGTTTTGTTTGGGCGATTGGAAGAAAGTTGTGCATGGTGGCCCGTGGCTGTTCAAGGGCATGGGCTTGCTTGTGGAAGATTACGATGGTAAAAGTGATCCCACTTCTGTTTCTTTCGACGGACTATATGTTTGGGCGCAGATTCACAAGATCCCAGAGCTGTACCGCCACGTGGAGGTTGTTGACCAGCTTGCTGCCCGGATTGGAAGGGTTAAAGAGGTTCAGCTTGCCCCAAAACTTTACTATGAAGGGGATTATGTTCGTGTGAGGGCTAGAGTTCTTGTTGGAAAGGCCCTTACCAGATTTACACCCCTGACTGTTAAAGGAGAGCGTCACCTCCTGCCTGTTAGGTATGAGAAAATACCCTACTTTTGCCAAGTATGCGGCTTCATGGGCCACAACCATGAGGAGTGCGGAGATGGGGTTTGGGAGCCAAAGCACAAACAGTTTGGCTCCTGGATGCTTGCTCAGCGTAAAGAGGTGGCTCAGAGGCCGCAAGATGGAGGCCGTCCTATGAGGGGAGGGAGATCTAGAGGGCGTGGAAGGGCTGGTAGGGGAGACCCAGCTCCACGCAAAAGATCATCTCAAGATGCAGAATTAGATGGGAATGAGGAGGAGGGAGACACAGAAACAAGCCCTCTCAAATCTGTCCAGGAAGAAGGGGTGCGACCAGCTGAGGACCCAACTGCACGCAAAAATCTGAATCTGGTACTTTCAGTAGATGTTTCAGGGACAAGCAAGACGCCCCCTGGGAACACTGCTGTACATGCTAGTACGTCTGATACACCACCGCCTCCACCGGTGTATGTGTCCCCAAGGGAGTCAAAGAAAGCTAAGAAAGGTTCCTCACCGAAGAAGGATAATAAGATGGCGTTATTGGCGGGCTCCGAGCCGGGGCGCCGCCAGGCCCAATGAAAATATTATGCTGGAACTGTCGCGGGATTGGCGACCCTGCGACGGTCAGAGAACTCCGCGATCTCGTGGAGAGGAGTTCGCCGATGATTCTTTGCTTAGTGGAAACTCAACTGCCGAAGAATCGTGTTGAAGGTCTTCGTTTTTCGTTAGGTTTTGATTTCAGTTTTGGAGTTGGTAGTTCAGGCCGCAGTGGCGGCATATGTATCTTTTGGAAAAATTCTCTGGATGTTTCAATAAAAAACTTTTCTCGGTATCATGTGGATGCATGGGTTAAGGAACCATTGAAGGAACAATGGCGGCTCTCGTGTTTTTATGGGGAAGCAAATAGAAGCCTACGCTATAAGACGTGGGATATGATGACGCGTTTGCGAGGCGAAAGCACTCTGCCGTGGCTGTGTATAGGGGACTTCAATGAAATTCTCAGGAAAGAAGAGCAGATGGGAGTACATGAGAGAGATAGTGCGCAGATGGAGGCTTTCCGCGAGGCAACTGATTTATGTGCCCTTGCGGACTTGGGCTATAAGGGCCTGGACTGGACATGGGAGAAGAAAGTTTCTGGTGGTCATTACTGTAGAGTTCGTCTCGACAGGGCACTTGCGTCTGCTTCTTGGTCCACCCTTTTCCCTCTTGCCAGTGTAGAGCATCTTACGGCGGCCAAGTCCGACCACTCCCCAATCCTGTTGGCGACTGATCTAGTCAGTGAGAGTGTCCGGGCAGCCCAGCGGCCCTTCCGGTATGAATGCATGTGGGAACGAGATGGTCGGTTCGGGTCTGTTTTGGAGAATGCATGGAAATCCAAAGCCGTGGCTCAGTCAGTTTCTGATTTTTCAGAGAAGCTAGCCAATTTAGCGACAGATCTACAACAGTGGGGGCGCCACACTTTTGGTTCAGTTCGACATGAACTCAGACAACTACGCAAGAAACTTGAGGAATTGCGAGCGGCACCCATGCGCGTCGGACCAAGTACGGAAGAGGAGGAAGTTGAAGCTCGCATGGTCGAGCTGTGTTGTCGGGAAGAGATCATGTGGCGTCAAAGGGCCCGCATACAATGGCTCGCTGAAGGGGACAGCAATACGAAATTTTTTCACAAAAAAGCTAGTGCAAGGAGAGCCAAAAATCACATTATGGAGCTTCAGAGAGCTGATGGATCAATGACGTCCGATCAGGAGGAGATGGCAGCAATGGCAACTAGCTTTTACGAGAACTTATATGCTTCGCAAGATACCATTGGATTGGAAGAGGTTCTCTCTCACATACCGGTTAAAGTAAATGGCCAAATGAACACTATGTTGAACGCCCCTTATACCAAGGAAGAGGTGAAGTCTGCACTCTTCCAAATGTTCCCGAC